AGACAAAAAGTAAATATCTTAGATCTCTTTGGGTGCTGCTAGGTAATCTGATAAACTAAACTGACAAACTAATTCCAGCTAGAGTGTTGATGGGATAATTGTTTACTGAATTGCCTCTCCTAGGCAACATATTTGCATTTTAACAAAGTCTTTCAATGTTTTACCCTAAAGAAGTGATTAAGGATTCTAGGATTTATAATAAGCAGACTGGTAAGGAAGATATACGAGGATGATGGACCCTAGATAACACTTACATTATGCTAGGTGGATGGTGATCTACCCTGACAATGAAAAATCATAGTTTGCTAGAGGGAACGTAGTCATTTGACAGATGAGGAAACTGAGATCCTGAGAAGTGAAGATGCCTACTTAAGGCCAGCTAGTTAAGGGCTGGGACCCAATCTCTTCACTTTTAGCCCAGGATGCATTTCATCCCACTCTACTGGTCCTAGTTTATAAAGTTGTGTGCAACCCACTTCAACATTGGGGTTGATAGGAAGGTAGGATGCTACACTCTATTAATTCATACTACAATGCATGGAAAGGAATTGTGGCCCTGTGGAGAGAAGATCATGAAAGTGAGGAAGGGGAGAGATGGGTGAGTGGGACAAGACTAATGCTTTCCTCTTAATGTCTGGAAGAGAGCCATTCTAGCTCAGAGGAGTAAATGAAATTCCAGAAGCCAGGCCTGCTTCACACATGGCAATTAATGAATTGAGTGTTCAGGGAAATGTAGGAAAAAACATGGTTTATGTCTCTGGGGTCTTGAAATAAGTGTTCATTATCCAGTTCATTATTAGCTCTATCAGAAGCCGTGAGGCATTTTTGTGATTTTGCAAAAACGCAAAAGGAAAAAGTACCATGTTATGATCATGTGACGGGGTGGTAACTGGGAAATGGTTGTAAATGTAACTCTGAAGGTCTCTCATGGTTAATCAAACCAAGCTTGAGTCGTTTTACTTAGATTCATAGATCTAGAGCAGAGAGAGCCCCCAGAGACCATGTAGTCCACTGCCTTTCCTTTTACAGATAAGGAAATTGAAACCCAGGGTAATGGAGTGACTTCCCCACGGACCCCCAGTAGTAAGCTCCAGAGGCTGAATTTGAGCTCAGGACCTCTGACTCCAGAGGATCTTTCCTTCGTACTACAAAGCCTCCCTCAAAACCATATTATTATAAAGAAGACAAACCCTATCTTTAGAACAATTTTAGAGACAAACTGGATTGTCATACCAGTTGAAACCAGTATGTATTGGTTCTTTTAATGGGATGAGTTTCATCAGCAATTTAGAAGCCTTGAAATCAATGCAATTTGAGATTGTGAAGCTTTGCAACAGTCCAATAATTTAATTGTGAGAAATCCGATATGTAAAGAGAAATGGGACAATCTATAACAACAACAGAATTTGAAACCAGACTTGGACGAAAATGGTGGTGACTTAAGGCTGGTAACACTGTGCCCTTTTCCTTTAGGATAAGTTGCTTTTTAAAAATAGAACATACGACCCACACACATACATCTTCATGCGCACACACACACACACACACACACACACATATGGCATCAATACTCACAAGACACAGATAAAATCAAAATTACACAATTTTCAACAGATTTGTAATCAGCACATTTTACACACTCTACAGACTACTGTAGCATTTGTCAGGAAAACGTACATTTCAGAGCAATATTTAAAACTGCCTGTGACAAAGTAGTCACTACTGAGATATGGCAAATTCAGCATCCACACCGTTAGCTTTTGCATCACTGAGGAGTTTTAAAAGATTAAAATGCAATAGACGAGTTTCTTTCTTTCTTCTTTTTTTTAAGAGAGAAAAGGACAAAAGAAGACCTTGCTGAAGATATCCTGAGGGATAATTTTATCATATCTTTGTCAGAATTCATGGCAGGAGAATTCTACAAGGCCTGAACCTGTGGGGAGGTTAGAGACCTAAAGGGCGAAGAAGGCAGATAGGAGTCACTTTGGTCTTTAGACCAGGAAAATGGAAAATTCATGAGAAGAGGAAGTTTTCCTGAGACTTCCAACTTTCCTGACAGGAATTAGAAATGGGTAAAACAATATGAAAATGCTACCATTTTAAAAGACATCTTGTAACTTCAAAAGTGCTGTAAAAAGTGAAAGTGAGTGTTTGGGGTCATTCTAATTCCAGTCCATTTTATTGCATCAGTGTCTGTAATTGCTGAGATATGCTAAACTATTGCCACTGGGCACTCAGGCATCTCTTCTCCTGGTGATAATCTCTTTCTCAATTGGTTTTTGATTTTTTTTTCCCTTTCAAATATTTGACTGTAATTATATGATTCTGCCAAACCCCTTGAGAGAAACTTGTCACAGGAGTTAAAATATCAAGGAATTGAGAATGAATGATTAGAATGAATTTGTGCTTCAGAGGGAAAATAAAAGCTAACAAACACAAAATACCTTACCCTATAACATTTTCATTTTAGGTAGTATACCATCAGAAATGACCTTTCCAAAAATGGCTGTGAGAAAACATTAAAGTCATCACCTAAAATTGTCGTTAAGGATCATTTAAAGATTTTTGCTCCTTCTTTGCTAGTCAGATAACAGCAAAAGACAGGCTTTATGTGTCACTTACAATGGATATAGGTTGGTAAGAAAAACTGGGGAACTGATAATGTTTGATATTAACTTCCTTTCTTCCTTTTTTCTTCCTTCCTCCTCCCTTCTTCCTGCCCTCCCTTCCCATTCTTTATAGGACTCATGATGTATTTTGGAGAACAAAGTTAAACACAAAATCCATCAAGATGGGGCTATTAGGATTATTTGGGGGCTAGCTCTGTAATCCTTGTATACACTACTCCCAAGGAAGCCAATGGGAGTGTATCAATGACTCTCTTCAACCTAGGCTCCTGATCAACTTGCTTGGTATTTTATAGAGTTGCAGAGACAGGACAGAATACAGCAGAAGCCATGTCCTTTGGATTGATCTCCTACCTAAATTTTCTTTTTTTTCTGAACAACGAGGATTTCAGTCCAGGGAATGTTACTGCTGGAAGTAGCATCCTTTGCTATAGCATTAAAGCCGCCACTTGTACCTGCTCCACACATCCTTTACTAGCCATTAAGTCATCCACCTGTCACCATCATTTTCTCTGAACTTAGGAATTAAGGCAAGTCCAATTCTCCACATTGCCTGCTCCATATGTCGCCATGGAAATGAGTAACATTGGATTGAAAATAGCTTTCATATAACAAGGTTTCTTTGTGTATATTATTAACAGTAATTTAAGAAAATGCTCCTCCCCCGTGAAGAAATTGCACAATTAGGCCTCAGAGAACCTATAGTTGGCTTGCTTGTTAGTTTTCCAGCACCCAAATGGCAAACAAGATGAATCCCATGCCAGGCAAACATTACAATGAGGCTAAGAAGTCCAAGAAGATACAACATAGTTACCACTATAGATGATTACTTTTTCTTGAACACATTAAAACATTTTTTGATATATTTATAAATGAAATCCTTGTATCATTGCATGTGTGCTTGGCTGAAAAACCTCCAGAGAAATCGATAACAAGAAGTCAATTACAGTGAAAATCTGCTCAAAAAGTGATTTTAAGAGATACCAATTCATGAGTTCAATAACTCAGTGATCTTTTTTTTTTCTTATGCTATTGAATATAAGTAGTATAAGAAAAAAGATCACTGGGTTATTGAACTTGTGAATTTGTATATATATATATATATGTTCCAATTTAAATATATTCCAACTATACATGTATATATATTCCAATTTTTATATATGTATATATATAGTGTGTGTTGTATGTGTGTGTGTATATATATATGTATATATATATATGTATATATATATATATATATATATATATACACACACACACAACACACACACATATACATATATATTTTTCCAATTTAAAAATATTTCAGGGGGAAAGAGATAATAGAAACCAGAGCCCAAGGGGTTGGGGTAGGGTCCTAATTTGCCTTTCTGAAATATTGGGAGTACAGACTGTAATTGCTCACTACGTACACTAAAAAAGTACAATAAGATCCTTCATTTTAAAAAAGTTGCTTCCACATATTTTAAACTCTAAAATATTTTAAAGCAAGTTTAGTCGATTGGACTTCCTTAATGTTTTACACTAAGGTTTTTATCTGAAAATCAAAGGGGGGTGTGTGTGTGTGTGTGTGTGTGTGTGTGTGTGTGTGTGTGTACAATTGTTTTGGTATGCTGTGTATGGCCAGAAATATATGGAGCTGATATGTACACATAAACATTACTCTGTGCTTATGCAGACCTAGTCATCTTATCATATGCATTATCTTACTTCTACTCCATTCTCTGATTCCTTTTTCAAAGTTGTGCAGTGGAAAGCACGGGCGTTGGGTCAGGGGAGCTGGGTTCTGCTCCTGACTTGGATGCTTACTAGATGTGTGACTATGAACAAGTCTTTTAACTTCTTCAATTATAATCTAAGGCTAATATCCACACTCCTTATCTCACAGTGTTGTGAAGAAAACACTTTGTTAACCTCACCAGTGTGATATAAATGAGATACCGTTATTAGTAAGAAAATAATAAATATAATTTTTCTGGTCACCAGGTTTCCCAGTTGTATAATCCTGATTGCAGATTCCTTTTCTAGGTCATTTTTTAGTCCCAAGAAGTAGGTAAATGTGTTTTTATAATATATAACCTGTGCTTGTAAAAAGTTTATCAAAATTCAGACAAACTTTGATAGCTTGGTCCTTACTGAATGCAATAATTCAATTGCATTTTCTAATACCAGGATTAGGGGCTGGCCCTGGAGTCAGGAGGACCTGAGTTCAAATCTGGCCTCGGACACTTACTAGTTGTATGACCTTGGGTAAGTCACTTAACTGTTTGCCCAGTTTCCTCATCTGTAAAGTGAAGTGGAGAAGGAAATGGCAAACCACTCTAGTATCTTTGCCAAGAAAACCCAAAATGGGTCATGGAGAGTCCAAAACAACTGAAATGACTCAACAACAATACCAAGATTTCTTTTTCTGAAGAATTTAGAGAGTTTTGTTAATTTTATCTTCAAAGTTGCCTGCCGAGACAGTTGGAGAAAAGGTTGCTGCCTTTTTAGAATGGGTTATAATTTGGGAAAAAGGCATCCTAAAAGGTCGAATGATTTGCCCAAGGTCGTACTTAAAAGCTTCTGGTGCAGGCAATGCTGGACCATCCTTGGTTGGTCCTGCACTGTCTAGACCAGTGGTTTTTACTTTTTAAGTCTGTGGAAGCCTTCTATGTTCTTTTGCCTGTCCCTGATAAAAGGTGGACAAAGAGTAATGGGTCAGATGCCAATTAAATATGACTGCCAGAACAATACTTTATTTCAATGAAGCCCCAGAAATAACTCATGGGACCTGCCTCATGTGTGCCGGGGAACACAGTTTGAGAACCACTACTCTAGTCTGCACGCCATTCCTCTGTCTCTATGAGATCTCCAGTTTGAAAGACTAAAACTCAACTCATGTTTCCCCAGGTACTATGTCCTGCAAATGCTCATTAGGAAATACAGATTTACTTGGGATTAATTGTTGCTTAATTTGTTCTTGAAACTTGGATCTGATCTTCTTGAAAAATCTATGGGCAACAGGAAAGTTAATCTTCCATTTGCGATTCATTGAAGTTATTGAGATTTAATCAGCTAACTTAGGTTTTTATTTCACTGCTATATTCTTGGTTTTTTTTTAATCAGATATTTATTGACTTAGCAGAGAAATATGTAGAAGATGGGGTCTTCAAAGAGTTCTGGTAAGGAAGAGTGTCTTGATTTCTTGTCACTTGTGGTGATCTAGCATTTCCAGGCAATGGCAAGATGGGCATTATTTTTTTAAAGGGATTCCCTACACATAAATCAACATCTCCCTCTCCCTTTATTATTATTTTTTGCTGTGGAATTGGCACTCAGGTTTTTGTCAGAAGAAGTTCTGACTCTATATTTATAGCTGCCTTAAATAGAAATACTGCATATCCTGTTCCTTTCACACACACACACGCACACACACACACACTCATCAATGATTATGGTGTCTGAGTATACTGATGCTGGAAGTATTATTAATGCATATTTTCTATTGGGTCAAACCTGGGGGGCTGTGACTGACCAGCCATCTAACTACAAAATTGGGCAGGCCTTTCACATTTTATTAAGTCTCCAAAAGCCAGTAATTTACATCTAACTGAATCAGTCTCATGTCAGGTCTACAAATTGTTGCATGCCCTATGCTGCTTTTGATAAATGGGTGAGGCATGTTGGATGGAGCATGGATCTTAATCTTGAAAGTAGAAAATGCAATTTAAACAGACACTCATAAATACAAGCCACAGCGATTAATTGTGATAAACATTGAACAGGTCTTTTCTATCCCTAACACTAGATACAAGAATAGACTTGGTTTTTCAAATGGGGACATGAAATATTTATAGAGGTGCAGATCATGATGAGAGTTACTAAAAAAAAAGTGTTCCTCCCCTTTTTCCCACCCACCCTAAGCCCTAAACACTTCCAAGATTCAGTGGCATAAGAAGATCAATATGTTCTAAGATAATATGCCTAATACAATTGGTCTTCTCTATCTTATGCATGGCCAGTACTATCAAGTGGTGTCTGCTTCTCCTTCCTCAAGGATGTAGTTGAGTTTGATGACCGTGCTGATAAAATCCCCAAGTTCTACAAAATCAGCAGTGACAATGTTGATGCCGCTCTCTCCAGGTTTCTGAGTCCGGACCCAATGCATCATGGCTGGGAGAGCTCTAATGAGGAAAAAAGAAAAGAAGTTACACAGGGATGAAGAACAGAGAGAGAGGGAGGACATATTTCACAGCATTGCAATTCCTAGTCTGTATTCATGGCCAACAAAGTGGGTTCTTGTATACATGCAGCTCAATCATGGCAGTGAAAGAAGTAGAGAAGGAAATCGTTAAGCCAATGTCCCTTTGGTGGTAGGCTATGGCCAAGTCTATATATTTAGAAGGGAGGAAACAGGCCTTGGGGAGTAGATGAAATTTCAAAGGGGAAGTCCCTAGGCTTTGGAGTATATAGAACTAAAGGCCATTTTGGAATTAGGGGATGCTGCTGACCAGTAACCCCTGCCACATAGGCAGCTAGACTACACTTGTTTCTCTGTTTCAAGTATAACAGAAAGGTTTACACTGGTGACTTAGTGCCTAACAGTCCCACTATGACATAAAAACACTTAGCCTGGAGGACTAAGAAGACAATTAGGTGGCATAATGGATAGAATGCTGGAATTGCAGTGTTGTGATAAAATCTGCAATAAAGAGAAACTGAAGTACAAAGTTCTAAATATGGTCAATTTATTAGTAATGCTTACAATTGCTAATAAAAGGGATCCATGGTTCTGTCATAGCCAGGGATACCTTGGGCAGCCAGAGCAGCCTTTTTTATACAGTGAAAATATAACAAGTTATATGAGGTGCCAAAATAGTTCAGTGATGAAAACTAAACTAAGGCTGTATTTGGTCTACAGCAGAGGTAAAGGGTAGGCCTACAGAGCTAAAGGGTGGGCTTATTTAGCTTGACTCACAAGAGAGGATCTCTAGGACCCATGACAATGGGGAAAACACAGAGATGAACAACACCATCTGGAAAGTCCCATGTTGGGCACTTCCCTACACCAGAGTGGTCCACTGCTAGGCAAAACATCTTATGACCAGGTTGACTCATCCTCCATTTCCTTCTTCTTCCAATTTGTGTTAAGACAGATTTGAGTCCAGGCCATAACTCAGAGGAACAGGGAAGTTAAACTCTTACAAACTTCTTACTAAGGCCTATACAATAAAATCTGATCCAGAAGTATGAATTCCAGTGATTAGATATAATTCTTAACTAATAAATAAAACAAAATAAAGTAGGTTATCAATTTTCAATTTCACGGGAGTCAAGATGACCTGAGTTCAAATCCTGATACAGAAACTTACTAGCTGTGTATGAATCGAGACAGGTCCTTAACCTATCTGTGACTTAGTTTCCTCTTCTGTAAAGTGAGAGAGTTGGATCTGATAAAACCTATGGCCCCCATCCAGCTCTAAATCTAAGACTCATTGGGCTTTCACATTCTTGGTCAGTCTTCCACCTTGAGCAGGCTGCACTAGCTACAATTTGAGTGGAAAAGGGATGAGAAGAGGTGAGCATTTTACATACGGGAACCAAAATCACTATTATCTATCTATTTATCTATCTCTCTCTATCTATCTATCTATCTATCTATCTATCTATCTATCTATCTCTCTATTTATCTATCTATCTATCTATCTATCTATCTATCTATCTACCTATCTATATCTATATCTGTATTTATATTGGTAAGTAAACCTTCTTTCATACTTCTTGCTTGCTTTCGGTCAGTCATTTATACTCTTCCAATACCTTGGTTGTATGATGATCATCATCAGCCCTCCTGAGATACTCTTTCCTTTGAGAGGAAATTAATAGACTTGGGCTCTGATCTGGACAACAACAGGCTGAGGGATTTTCATAGGAAAGGGTAAGCTAGTACCAGGTGCCCAACCTCCTTAGGAAGAGTATCTAAGAGCATCTCTGATGATCACCTCTCTTGTGCCAGTGTACGTGGAAACACCTTGCAAAGAGAATCACTAACAAAGGATTGTCTGGTTCTCTTTCTGGTTCTGTACGGTCTAACAAACACTACTTTCTCCAAAATCACGCAGCAGGAAGGGAGGGCCAGACAAATTCTCCCTTGCCTGCAGAAATTCACAAGCATTTCTTTCCTTTGGACAGTTTATGCCACTTCAACCTCCAATATGCTTACCTGAGGACCAAGTCAAGGCTGCCGTTCCATATACAGCACATACAAAGGTAAGAAACAGTATTTGACAACAGCTATCTCAAATCTCCCACGAAACTTCTAAAAGGCTTTCCAGTGACTGAATCTCCTTTCCTTGTTCTTATTTTTCATCCTCGGATAATGACCCAATGGTCCACTTCAAAAGCTCAACTTTACCCCAGATCTCATACCCCAGGTTGCTTACATTTTTAATGAGCTCATCTCATAGCTTCTGTTCAATTGCTAAATCCTCTCCCTTTGTGTTCCAGAGGGCATTACTTTCTATCCTGACCCACACCCCTACCCATTTCCTCTTTGCACTCCCTGGAGCAGCCAAGCGAGGTTGCCTGTGGGGAGGTCAGAAATATTCCTCATACACTGGAAGGGCTTCTCTGTACATGTGTTATGTGCAGTACAATCTCGTCTTCTTCTGTAACATTCAACTGGGCATTTTTATTGTCTCATGCTGCTGTTTAAAAGTTTTTCCAATGTATATCTGGTCTCTCCAACAATGCTATACATTCCTCAAGTGCAGGGAAGATCACAGGACTTAGAACTAGAAGGGGGCGTGGAGATAATGTAGTCCATCCCATTCATTTTACATATGAGGAAACTGAAGTCACTTGAAAGGCAAAGCACCTACTTCACAGGGCCATTGCAGGTATGGACGAGATAATATGCTTTGAAAACTTTAAATTTTACATACATTTTAACTCTTGTGTTGTCTGAGATCACACAGGAAGTAAGCACGTCCCATTGATCTAGCTAAAGTCAAATCATCAAACATCATTAAGCACTCACCATGTGCCAGACATTGTGCTAAGCAACAGGGATAAAAAAAATACAGGCAAAAAGACAGTCCCTGTCCTCAAGGAGCTTACATTCTAATGGAGTAAGACAACACATTAAAGAGGAACTTAAAAGGGAGAGGAACACAATGGCAAAGCCCAGGAAGTGAAATATGGCTGGTTTGGGCCCTCTTCAAAATGGAGTTTCTGGAAAGAACCCACCAATGGAAGAGGAGGGGGAGTCAAGCTTCTATCTTTTGATTTCAAATCTGGCACTCTCTCCATTATACCAACTTGTTAATTAATATTAATATGATTTTTTTTTTTTGGCTAAGCAATGGGGTTAAGTGACTTGCCCAAGGTCACACAGCTAGTGATTGTCAAGTGTTTGAGGCCAGATTTGAACTCAGGTCCTCCTGACTCTAGAGCTGGTGCTCTATCCACTGACCCACCTAGCTGCACCCATTAATATAATTCTTTTGTAATTTTCCTCCACCTTTCCCTCATTCGCAGTACCAAATACATGTCATATGATAGTAATTCAATTAGACACTTATTGTATTTTAACCACTAATTGAATGTCCTGTAAAAAAAAAAGGCTGGAGTTGAGTTCCCCAAGAATCTAAAATAAACACCTTCTTGGGGTCCATCTGTCCCTTGCTTTAAGTCACAACCCCTTCCACTTGAGTGGCAAACTAGGTTTGTCCAGTGATTCAAGATAAAAAGCATATGTGTATGTGGGGAGTGGGTGGGATAGGAGTAGTTTGAGGGCGAAATTTTCAACTTTCAGTGAAGTATTCCTATCACTCTCTCCATTCTGAGTAAATATTCAATGACCTGAGAAATGGGCAGAAGCAAACAATCAGCTTGGCGGATACCATCATATCCACACAGTAATATTTATTACCAAATGAGAAAAGAGAGGATTAACAAACACTGTTATTTTCATCTTCTGGAAATAGTTAAGAATTAAATGCAAATGGAGTAAATCTTTATAGATGCAGGATCATTTTCTCTTTTAAAATACAACAAATTTCTTAAGATCAAGAAATTATCAATGAAAAAGTAAGACTTTTCCCCCTTCCCCAATTTTAGATGAGAATTTAAGGCGGGACATGTAATAATGAAAAGTAGGCAGATACAGTGTATGACTGTAGGCATAGAATTATTGGGGGGAGATGTAAAAATGAGTGAATATGAGAAAGGCTGTGACTATACATAATATATATACGTATACATATATGAACTAGTTTGGCTTTTTGAGGGTGAGGTGGGGGGAAGAAAGAGATGGGGTAGGGAGAGAGAGAGAGAAAGAGAGAGAGAGAGAGCTAGTTTGTTTTTTGACAGATGACTACTGTTTTGTTTAATAGAGCTACTGATAGCTTTCACAACCATATTCTTTCCTCAAGTTTGGAAAGCATTTAAGCTGCTTTTTTATGAAGGGAACTTATCAAGGCAGGTATGCATGCCTTGGCTCCTCTTCCTTAGAATAGAGTATAAGCTCTTTAAAGGCAAGGACTGTTTTGTTTTTGTCTTTATATCTCTAGATGTTGGCACATAGTAGGTACTTAATAATTGCATCTAAGGGGCAGCTAGGTGGCACAGTGGATAGAGCACCAGCCTTGGACTCAGAAGGACCTGAGTTCAGATCCGGACTGGGACACATAACACTCACTAGCTGTGTGACCCTGGGCAATTCACTTAACCCCAATGGCCTTGCCAAAAAAAAAAAAAACTTCTAAAAAATAAAAATAAAAAAAAAATTTCATCTAACACAGGCAACATTAATATGGATAGAGACACTGAAGGATAAATTTATGGTTTGACAAAAGCAAAGGGCTACTTTAGGAGGTAGTGAATTTCTCATCACTGGAAGTTTTCAAGGAGAGAGTATATAATCACTTATTGGGAGATATTGTAAATAGGATTCATATTCCAGGTAGAGGGTGGGCTCATTTACAGTTCTGGGATTCTGAGTGACATCCAGTGGGGATGGGAAGTTCATCAGCTATGCGACAATTTATAGCAACCCTACACTAGAGTACATTAGGAAACCAAGATCCTTTTCCTCACTGTAGTCTATATTATAGTTGAGTAGAATATAAGCACTTTGATGTCAGTGACTATTTCATTGCTATTTCCTCACTATCTAGAGAGT